TCTAAAGATCAACAGACTCAACTTGAAGGTATATTACATGAGGACAAATTGAGTGTCCAGGCTTCCAGTGTTACTGATGGTGTTTACAGAGTGACTGTTATAATGTCTGATTCTATGAATATCAATGAAGTTCTCCAGCAAGCACTCTCTATTACAGAAACTCAACCTGCTGATGCTGAAAAGATACACGTATCAGACACTATAGAAAATAAACCAAGTGCCCCTCCCAATGTCTCAGAGTCAAAAATAGAAGCAGTTTCTGTCCCTGAAGTACCCACAGAAAAGATACCTTTGAATAAATCTACCACATGTATATTTACAAGTTTTCTTCCCAAATCTCAATTTTGTGTTGGTTTATTTGAAAACTTGAGAAACCTAGCTGAGATTATAACTGAAATCAACACACAATGTTCAGCATCAGAAGAAAGTTATCTTCCTAAAATTGGAGAATATGTAGCAGCTTTGTTTGAAGGTAGTTGGTATCGGGCTGAGGTTTTAAATATCCTGGATGATAAAATAACAGTTCTCTTCATAGATTATGGCAATAACAGTGATGTTTCTGTGAAAGAAATACGTAAATTGAATCCAAGACATCTCAAATTACCAGCTCAAGCCATCACTTGTTCATTTGATGGTATAGATGCACCTCTTTCTAAAGATCAACAGACTCAACTTGAAGGTATATTACATGAGGACAAATTGAGTGTCCAGGCTTCCAGTGTTACTGATGGTGTTTACAGAGTGACTGTTATAATGTCTGATTCTATGAATATCAATGAAGTTCTCCAGCAAGCACTCTCTATTACAGAAACTCAACCTGCTGATGCTGAAAAGATACACGTATCAGACACTATAGAAAATAAACCAAGTGCCCCTCCCAATGTCTCAGAGTCAAAAATAGAAGCAGTTTCTGTCCCTGAAGTACCCACAGAAAAGATACCTTTGAATAAATCTACCACATGTATATTTACAAGTTTTCTTCCCAAATCTCAATTTTGTGTTGGTTTATTTGAAAACTTGAGAAACCTAGCTGAGATTATAACTGAAATCAACACACAATGTTCAGCATCAGAAGAAAGTTATCTTCCTAAAATTGGAGAATATGTAGCAGCTTTGTTTGAAGGTAGTTGGTATCGGGCTGAGGTTTTAAATATCCTGGATGATAAAATAACAGTTCTCTTCATAGATTATGGCAATAACAGTGATGTTTCTGTGAAAGAAATACGTAAATTGAATCCAAGACATCTCAAATTACCAGCTCAAGCCATCACTGTCA